TGTATAATTTTTACAATATTTTTATGCGTGAGGAAAGAATAAAAATAATGTAATTTTTAAAATACATTTATATATATAATAAATATATATATTTCAAATTTATTTTAGTATTATTAAAAAAAATATATAGTCCTTGAATTTTGTAATAGGAATACTTTTGCATAGAGATATTTGTCTTTATACATATAAATATAACAAAAATATTCCTCTTTTTGTTCTACGAAGAACAATTATATATTATTATATGTTACATTAAATCTTCTAGGTGAATCTAAAACTTCAGAAATCGTATAATCTTTTATTATATTCCTATCCATTATAATGTTATGTTTTCTTTTAGATTTTCCTAATAGAGATTTTTTTAACCAATACACAACTGGAATAAACTAATGAAAATATGGTATATGTACAACATTTTTTTTTGTATAATATTTTTAAACATGTAAAAAATTCAATAAAATTTATATTATATAATGTAATACATTTACTTTTTTATATACATCAATAATTACTTTGCACAATATAATAGAAAAAACTGTGATTCCTATAACTAAAGGTGCAATGGTCATATATTTGGGAGATGCAAAATCTGAATAATTATTTGGAAAGTCAGAAAAGGTTTTAAATTCTGAAGGTCCAATATGGGCATAATAATTTGTTGAAATTTTGCTTGTGAAATCTTGTTCTTCCTCAATTTTATGTATATCGTTATCTTTGTCTATCAATTTTTTCTGTTCTACTACAATTGCATCGCCTTCTGACACTCTACGAATTGTTTCTTCCTGTGTATTTTTTTCCCCTCCTACCTCATGTACACCCATAAACACATTAGATTCTGGCTGTGTTCTTTGCGTTTTCTTAGATTCACTTGGTTTTTCCTGATCTTCATGATTTATTTCTAGTGATACTAAACTAGATTGATCTTTTTCTGAATTACATCTCCATTCACCTATGTTCATTTTTACTTTATCTTTAATGTATTTACTAAAAGCAAAACAAGTCGCACCCTCATTACCTGAATCGGTACACTTGTTTCTGCACTGGTAATAATTTAAAATATATTCACTAAGATATAAATTAAAAGAATCGCTACAAAACTTATTGGGCTTAGGATCATACTCTCTAAGCTTATCATAATCTTTCGAAAAATCAAACAATAGCTTAATTTCCCTAAAATTTCCTTGATTGATATTATACTTATCTTTTTTACATATGTCAGTAAAATTTTTACTTTTTAGAAAAAATATAAGTATATCTGCAACAGTACTAAATGTCCTACGATCTGATAAATTATTATGTAATACATCACATAACCAAAAGTACAGGTAATCACAATCATCTAAATTAAATGCTTTTCTCTCATTACTTTTATATGCATAACATAAGCCTTTAAGTATTTTGTCACAAACATTAATAGGTAACTTGTACGTTTTTAGGAGAGACTCTGAAACACTCCAAAAAGAAGCGTTCTCACAATTATCTTCTCCTTTATCGAAAATAGTATACATCAATTTTGATGGTAATTTTTTAAGATCTTCATACTATGGATTTAAAAGAAAAGACAATATATGAATTCTTATTTAAAAAAAAAATAAAATAATTAATTAAAGGAGAAATGATTTATTTTAACACAAATTATAATTTATATTATATAAAAAAACATACCCCTAAATGAACTCCCATTATTAAAAAATGTTAAAATTAGATATACAAACAAAATAAAACAATCATGTATTTAACAATGTATTTACTAATATATTGAAGCATTCCTAATAAAATTTCTAATAATATATATAATTATATTTAGGATTGTGGATTTGTGATTATAGTTTTGTCTTATTTTTATAATATTTTATGATATATAATTGTTTTAACATTATGTTCTAGGAATTATGGTTGTATATTTGTTTACAGGATATATTATATAAATATTTATAAGTTATACATTCCATAATATTCACAATGTGAGAGTAAAATTAATTATTTGAAATTATTAATAATATATATTATGCTGTACATAATATTTCTAATACATATTCTTTATGCATAATGTTTATAATGTGTCATAGACACTATTGATAAAATTAAATATTATACTTTCCTTTACTTTACATATAATATGATTATTTTGAACTTCATTTATGTAATTTACATTAATAATATATATTTTTCTACATTATTAATGAAGGTATTGCTATTTTTTTTCATGCTATAAATTTAATAGATCACCTTAAAAACTTTTTTTTTGAATTCATTAAGTTCTCCTCAATTCTCATATTAAATTTAAGTAATATTTATATATTATTGATATTTAAAATAATATTCTATTTCTCTGAATTATATTAATAATAAATATTTTTGATTTAAATATATAGTCATATTTTGATTATTGAAGAAAATATATGAATTTCTATTATTATATGTTATTTTTTTTGGATATTATATGAACCCATAAAACATTTTATGTATTGATATTTTTCTTATTAGAATAAATATATTTTTATGATTAAACTTTTTTCAAATAACTTTTTCTTTTAAGTATATATGGAGCTTCCACCTAATGAAAGTAATTGTGGCATTTTACAATACATACATAATTTTGAAAAGTTAGGTGTATACAATGAAATATTATCTTTAACTGTGATTTATAATTATTATATAAATAAAAATAAATAAACAATTTTTAATTGCTACAAACGTTTATATATGAAATATTGTATATTTTTGTGTATGCTTTTATTAAAAGTTGTCATAGCTATAATATAGTGAGGCTATTTTTACGCAAGAAAAATATTAACATAATTAATTATAACAACTTTTAAGCTATGTCAATAAAGCATATTGTTTTTGTAACTATATGTGAAATTTGTAACTTTTTTTAAATATCATGTATTTTGTAAAATAAAATGATTTATTATAAATTTTTTATTCTATTGTTAATGGCTATTTATTTTCATCTAATAATGAAGCACATATGTACATATTAATTTATCATAATATATTACAATGTTTCAGTAACAAATAATTTAAAATATTATATATATATTTTTTTATATATATTGCAATGGAATCAAAATTTAATTAAGGAATGAAAAAGATATATCTCTACATAAACCTGTTTACTATAATTCTTTTTAAGTGCATATAAAAAAAGCATGAAAAAAGATAAATTAGGAATCACATATTAGAATTTAATGCAAATATTGTTTAGAAAATGTAAATTTTAGTATAAAATAACAAAAAAAATATTTGTAAAAATAAAAAATATAATTATTTTAATGATCATATATTTTATGCTTTTATTATAAAATATATAAGAAAATGGAAATTCCGTTTTATCTTACTGAATACATTGTTATATTTCTTACATTTTATTTAAATTGCAAATAATATCTTAATAATTATTCATGCCTTATGATAACGCTTGTCTATTTCATTATAAATATTTACGAGTTCTTAATTACTAACTGAAAACAACTATAACATATATATCACAATAATTTAAAATATTTATCTATATGTTTTTCATATTCTTACTTAATCTACAGAAAATGAAGTACAATAATTACAGAAATAAATATTAAATAATGAATGTTACAAGATTTTTTTTTATTTTCTTATTAAGTAAATAATAAACAAAATTTGCTTATATATATATGTATCTCTTCTTCTATTATTAGTTCCTATGATCTTTAAACACGGATGTGTGTTATTTCTGTAAATGTGCATGCCGTATTCCTATTTAAGATGACTGTTAATACTTATTATATAATATAATTATTAATATATTATTGATTACATGAATATATATAAAAATTAAATTATTTTATAAAATAATTTAAATGCTCCATTTTTCTGATATGTTTAATATTCTAGAAAAGAGTTAAAAAATTAAATATAATCGACAATTCATTGAATTAGATATATTCAAGAATTTGAAAATATGGAATAAATTATAATGTCTTGTTATACAGTACAATAAAGACCTATATATAAGTGTGACAAATTTTAATGCATAAAAGGATATTTATTAAATTTAACTAATCAGTACATTTTAATGACAGACATTTGTTTATCAATATCTATTTTCTTTAAATATATAGGGAATAATATTATAAAAATACATATTTTATTTAATTAAAGTTATATTTATTCCCATTAAACAATTTACTATATAATGGATGAACGCTAGAATATAAATTGTTATTGAATGTATAAGTTCCTATTATCGGATATATAATGAAAAAAAATTTTGAAAAGAGAATATAAAAACAAAAAGTTAAAAAAAGCCTTAACCTGTAGAACAAGGTCTCAGAAAATGCATAATAGAAAAATAACTAAAAAATATAATATTATCGGACTTATAGTTTTTTATACTGAAAAAAAATATTTTATTGATGTGTATGATAAATATTTGGTTAAAGGAAGGCATATTAAAAAAACATAAATGAGATATCTCAAATAAGACACTTGATAATTACATTTTCTGTGTCCTATATTATGTATTTTTCGTAGACTATTTTTTTCTATGATGTGTAATACTAAAAAATACATAAAAATTTTTTTTTGACAAATGAATCATTTCTATGTTAATCCTAAAAATACTCCTATATATTTAAAAAATTTTTAGGGTGCGTAATTTACATAATATAGAAAAAGAAAACAATTTTCATGGTTATATTTGTTCTTTATAAATGTATATAAATAATCATTATTCTGTTATAATTATTTGTATAAAATCATATGTATACTAATAGTATAGGACATTCTTAATTTCTGTAAATATATATAATACTTAAAATATAACCACAAATTCTTCATAAACACATCACATATATGTATAATTGAATATGATACATATTATCATGAATTTGTTTGTATTCCTTAGTGTAATGTTATGAAATTTCATTACATACTTTTTAATAATATAATATTATATAGAATATTATGTAATAAATCATACACATGTATGCATGGGAATACTCAGATCAAGAGATTCAACTATGTATATTTAATTATTTAAACCCATGAAATATTATTCTACATCTTATTTACATGGTAACTTAATATAAAAATAATAAAAATCATTAAAGTGTATTTATTTGTTTATGCACATAGTAAACTTGATGTATTTCAAATGTTTAATTTGATATTTGTTTTATATTATATGAATCTAATAATATATAAAAGTTAATTTATTTGAATTTTAATATACAGGTGCCTAATTAGTCACCTTATAAAAAAGGTTAAATTTGTACATGTTTATATCTACTATTTAACTTAGAAATAAATATAATAAAAACAACGATATAAATATTATTAACTAAAAATGTTATTAATGCATATATCACATATTAATATATATTTAAATATATATTGTAATGATATATCTCAAATTAAAGTAGAATTTCATCTCAATTATTACAGTTAATTCATATTTGTATATAAAAATATTTATTAATGACATTCTGATTATAATCGTAGTTCTTATAAATATGGTTCATATATGTATGAATGCAAAAATAAAATACATATAGACTTCATAAATAAAGGAAATAATTTAAATATATATTCTAAAAAAAAAAATTAAATAAACTAAATCTACGCCTATGACATTTATTTAAGAATGGTATACTTACCAAATACAGAACATTCTTATAATATAATAAATTATGACGACATATATATCATATATATCTTATATTCGCATTCACTCATTAGTATAGAATCTAAGGAACATCTCTTAACTTATAACTGTATTATATATTAATTCATAACTATATATAAAACCAGGTTTCTATATTTTAATGTGAAAAAAAATGCTCTCTCCTGATTAATTTATCAAGTTAGTTATTTAATTACATAGGAATTAAATATAAAAATAAATAAAAAAACGTTCTCCCTTTTTAAAAACATTATAATAAAATTTATTAAATATATTCTCACTTTTTCTCAATTCGTAGATATTAAATAAGTGAATATATAAAATATAATCATCTTACATATTAAAATATATATTATAAATTCATTACTTGATCATATCTAAATGAATGCATATATAATATTAATAATGTAGTACTATGCAAAATATCATTAGGGAAAATAAATGTATAAGATTTATCATTTTTTTTAAGATAACTTAAATTAGTATTATAATTAAAATAAATATATACCTATTAATTTTTATATTATTTAGTTACAACATATTACAAATAACAGTTTCTGCAAATAAATGGTGCTAGAATGTAAATTATCATAGCAAAATATATTTTTATATTTCATTATATAACTTTAATTATTAAGATAAATATATTAAAATAGTATATTAGCTCATATTATATATTCAATCTATAAAATAATGATTTTTATTTTTTGTTAAAAATATGCTCTAACAAATTGATAGCAGAATTATATAATATAAGATAAAAGTAATAATACATAATATATTATATATTCTTTGATATTATAAATTGTATATATATATATATAATAGGCATAGTAAAATAAAAAATATATTTATTATAGATTTTACTCTAAATTTTCAGCGGTATACAAATTATTCACGTAACGGATAAATAATGTTTTTATAAATATTATAATAATAAAACTATCAAATATAATGTATTAATTGTATATTTTACTCTATAATTCACACATAAATAAGATACTCTTTTAGAAATCACTAAAAAAATTAAAATTCATATATATTATTGATATTTATATAATATATATAGCCGTTATATCGTTATAATAGATACATTGTAATTGCAATAAAATGTTTCATCAATATATGAAATATGATCTAAAAACCTTATTGTGTATTATGTATCTTCAAATATCCAAAAATTGTTTCTTACTTTTAATCTCTTTTATTTATAGGATGGAATATTTTTTAATTATTTTAGTATTTATGATATTATATATATGATTAATGGTGTTTTGTACATATAATTATAATTTATAAAATATACTAAAATACAGAAAAAAACATATTTCCTATGTTATAAAAAATAATATATATTTAAAACATAAACACCAAAATATCATATAAATTAATACCATTATATGATTTATATTTTACAATGTAATTTTTTGGTATTTTTATTAAAAGCTTTTATTTTTTAAAGACATATTTTTGAAACAGTAAAAAAATAAGAAGAATTATAGATATATAATATATTTCATAATTAGTTTTATATTAGATATATATGGAAATGTTTTGTTCTGTTATTTCACGAATATGCATTTATAATTATATGTTTATATTCTTTATATATGTTACAGTTGTAGAAATATATATATAATCATTTAAAAGATAAATTACATGGTGTCTTTTACCCTTGTTAGTATTATATAATGATCAAACATAAATATATAGAATATATTCTATTTATATATAACATATGTAGCTATGATTAACTTTAATAACGTGATGCAAACATTATATATAAATTTTTATTGAATAAATAATCAATGAACAATAAATAATAAGTTCTTACATATATAATAAATTCCTCTAATATTTAATAGACATTTAATGGTAATATATATATTTCTTTTCAGCATAAGTTAATATGATATTAAATCATTCATTTAGCATTTAATTTATGAAAATACTATATTCATATTTTAATGTATATATAATTAATGCTCGTTTATTATGTAGATAAAATTATAAATTATATAGATTTTATTATAAATAAGAAAATATGAATATAAAACATTAACACTATATTTATATATTTAATTTATAAAAATAACATTTTACTATCTATATCCATATAATTCCAATATATACATTAAAGAAAAAGACAGAAATAAATAATATGTGATAAATATGTATTATATATACACATGTAATTCATAGTTTATTATATTGAGCGACTAATTTATTATATGAGTAATATATATATAACAGTATTAATAAAAATATTTGTTTGTCATCCTATATTTTTATTTAATTTCATAGTTATATATATTTTTTACATATTATTTTAATATATAAATAATTGCTTCCATTATCCTGAATGGACTATTTAATCATATTCTTTTATATAATAATAATCAAATATAAATATAAATAAATAAAAAGTGTTCAAGATTTATGTTATATATTTAAATATATTTTATATAAATATAGTATGTAGTATAGCACTTTTACACATAAACATTTATAATTACAAAAATATAAACTGGATTTTGTTTAATATACAAAAAAAATCAAAATGATTACCTCAATTGTAATAGATGATAACCAGGTTCTTACTATTAACACCAATTACAATATACAATAGTTAATTTTTAAGCACTAATATGCATATAAACATAGGAAAAAATACTTCTTTATAAAGATTATTTTAAACTTTATGTGAATTATAACTTTTATTTTAGATCAATTTTGAAGATATATTTCCCCAATGCATGTATGATTATGATAAGCATGCAAAGTGTAAAGTAAATCTTGAATCTGATGATATTAATAATACTTGTAGGCATATTAAGAAACAATTGGGCTCCAAAGATTCAGTGGCGAACTTTTTACAATATTGTAGAGAACTTATACACTATTTAGACTACATAGAAAGAATAAATTCCCCCGCATATAAAAAAACAAGTTGTATATTTTTTTACTATATTCTAAGTCTTCTACTAAAAAGTAGCAATTACTCTGTCAATCAAATTCACGATGCATATCATAAAATGATTAGTGAAACCAATGAAGATAATATGAAAAAAGTTTCTAATGTATGTCAGAATGATTTTAAAAATCTGGGGAATAATATATATTTAACTTTGCACAAACTAAATGAACTATATGAAATAGTTTCAGGAACACGTATAAATTGCTCTGAACAAAGTCCTTGTTATGCTAAGTACAAGGAACTATCAGAAATATGTAATCGCTCAAAAAACATTAGTCTTTGTAGAGTGCTAAAGAATTTTGAAAATGCATATATGACATATTTGCCATACGTACAAGAAATACTGAATCTCCGTATATCATTGAAAAATACACGTATCATTATCTTAACATTCCTTATTATACCTTTTACAATATTAATTATAACACTTTTTTTATATAAGGTTAAATATAAAATTGATTAAATTATACAATAATTTAATCAATCTTCTATTTGCATTTCATGTGATTTGAAAAAATTATATTAAATGAATAATGCATTCATATATATGAAATTGTTCCTACATTATCAGTATACTCCGTATGGTTCATTCTTACTATCAACAGTAAGAAAGATAAGGAGAATATTGAAAAAAAAAAATAAAGATCATCTCAACATAATGGATTCATCAGAATTCACACAACATAATGTGTTTCATAATGTGTACCAAATAGAATGAACTACCTTTAGCTACACATGAAGAACTTATGTTTACTACTAAAGAATACAGCAT